GTGTGTGTGTGTGTGTGTGTGTGTGTGTGTCTCTCTCTCTGTGTGTGTGTGGTACAGCCCGCCCTCCCGGGCAGGTGGTCTACGGGTGTGTACGGTCAGCCCTGGGGAGGGCTAGGCAGCGTGATGATTCTGGGAGGGCAGTGGCCGTGTAGGGGACTATGGGCAGAGCTGTCGCCCTGGCAGAGTGGTGGTCCCAGGACAGCTGAGCAGGATGGTGACCCCAGGGGAGGGGGCAGGGCAGCACCTTCAGGGCAGCAATGGAGGCATTGAGATGGTACAGACGGGCCCAGGCTGCAGAGCTGGCGTTGACCCCTCGGAGCTGCTCCCGGATGGCCGGCAGGAGGGCACTGGCCTGTTCCAGGTCGTCCAGGAGCAGGACCACACAGTGGTCACACACTAAGGGCAGGAAGAGGATTTAGCGGGGTCAGCACAGGTCACAGTGAGGGCCGAGGAGGGGTGTGAGGTGACTAATGGAGGTTCCTGGACCAGCATGGCCAACTGAAATCTGGACGGCCACTGGGAGGTCAGTACCACTGAGGGGCGGGGGAGGAGGGGCAGGGGATGGATGTGGGTGTCACAGCCCTGGCTTTGGGGTCAGTTATCAGCCAGGGTGAACTGCTATGGTCACGGTGCAGTCAGTCAGCATGGGGTCCCCAGGTGGAGGCAGTAGGGGTCAGCACAGGCTGGGGGCACCCATGGGGGGGGTCTGGACGAAGCTGTGACATCAGGTGGGGACGATGCACCTTCACAGTGGACGCCGTGGCTCCCTGGTCCACCCAGCACAGGAACCTGGTACTGCTGGCTACAGGCATCACAGCGCTCCCCGCTGAGCCCGGAGGGGCAGGAGCAGCGGCCCGTGTGGGGGTCACAGTGGCCCCCGCGGCACTGGCAGCCTGTGCGTGGGGAGGCAGAGGAAGGCTGGGTGTTGACTCCAGCCAAAGACTGCCCAGGTGCCTGGTCACCTCCCCCTTGCCCACTCCGGGGACTCACGCTGGCAGCCCTGTTCAGGGACCCCCCAGTGTCCAGGAGCACACTCTCGGCATTGGGGCCCTCCGGCACCCGGCTGGCAGTGGCACTGCCCGCTCTGGGGGTGGCACCCGGAGCCCTTGGCGGCTGGTCCGCAGGAGCAGGGGCGGCAGCCAGCACAGTCCTGGAAGCCATAGTGTCCTTCCTGTGGGGAAGGTGGTGGTCACAGTGGCTCCAGCCAGCCCCAAGTGACCTTACCGAGCCCACCGCCCCATCCACCCCGTCCCCTACCTGGCAGTGGTCACAGCGCCTCCCAGCCACACCCGCCTTGCACAGGCACTGGCCAGTGTGGGGGTCACAGGCCTCCGTCCCACAGGGGGAGCAGTCACACCCTGCAGAGATGGTGCAGTAAAGGCCGGGCCCTGACCCCCCTCACCCACCCCAGGATCTTCTCGGCTCCCATGGCACCTAGGCCTTGGGTGCTCTATGGCTGCCCCAGCCACAGCTCCTGGGCTCTGGGATCCGGGCACCCACGGAGGCCCTGCTCCCCACCCAGGCCCGCCAGCAGCTCACGTACGGGAGCAGTTGCCGGGCAGCAAGGCGTTGCCGTAGTAGCCCGGGGCGCAGATCTCACAGCGCGGCCCGGTGGTGTGGCGCATGCAACCGCGGCAGGCGCCCGTGAGTGGGTCGCAGTCGTTGAAGAGCATGTTTGGGTCACCGTTGCCGCTGCAGTCACAGGCCCGGCAGGAGCTGCCCAGAACCAGTGGATTTCCAAAGAAGCCAGGAGCGCATCTGCCGAAGGGCGGGCACGTCAGTGTCCTGGGCTGGCACCTCCGGCCCACCGCCCGCCCACCTGCCCACTCCACTCACCGTTCGCAGGACGGGCCCGCGTAGCCAGGTTTGCACAGGCAGTAGGTACGGCCACCCCGCAGGACACAGCCCACAGCAAAGCTGCAACGGTAGCTCAGGGTCAGCCCAACGCGGTCCCTGTTTCTTGCGGGGGCCAGGTGGGTGAGGTCCCCACCCCATCTGTGCCAGTGAGGAACAGAGTATGGGGCCTATGGGCATCCAGGGGAGCAGGGAAGGGCTGTGAGGAACCCAGGGGGTATGGGGCCTGTGGGCACCCAGGGGAGCAGGGAAGGGCTGTGCGTACTTGTTTGAGGGCACGGCGAGGGGGCAGGGGCAGCTGGTACAGACAGCTTCCGGGCCTCCGGGGCCACTGCTCATGAAGCCAGGCTGGCAGCGCTCACAGTGGTCACCTTCTGTGTTGTGCTGGCAGCCCTGGGGTTGGGGACACCCCCAAGGTGCCCCACTCAGAACCATTCTGGTTGTGCACCAGAGACTAAAGGATCTCGGAGAGCTGCTGTAACTATGGGGGCTGACCTCCCAATGGGCACCCCTAGACCCACCTGGCATGAGCCCTGGACCACTTGCGACACTGGGGGCTGTCTCCCCACTGAGCTCCCCGCCCCAGACCTAGCCTGGCTGTGGACATCAAGCTGCTAGGGGACCTGACAGCACCTCTCTCTGACCTCCACACATCTGTGGCCCCCTCTGGGCCCACTTACCACGCAGATGCCTGAGCCTGGGAGGCAGCGATCAGAGTGGCCATGGCACTGGCAGGGGACACAGCGGCCCAGGAAGAGGCCCTTGGTGTCACGGTAGTAGCCGGGGGCACATTCCTGAGGAGTATGGGGCGGGCTCTGGTAACTGAGGCAGGACTGAGGCATATGGGGGACGGTGTGACATCCAGACTCAGAACCCCTGACCCTGCCCATGGAGCCGTGGATGTCCTTGGTCATCTTTCAGGCTCAGGGCCACAGCCCAAGTAACCACCAGCACATCTTGGCCTCAGTGTGGGGCCAAGACTCCCACTCGTGGGCTAGCCCTTCTCTTCTTGCTCGAGTCTTATCCTCATTCAATCCCAAACCCCTCCAGTGGCAGGGGCCACACTGGACAGAGAGGCTGATGGACAGAGCAGGACATAAGCAGGTGACCGTGAGGTGGCCCAGCCCTCAGGTGAACAGCAGGCATACAAGAGGATGAGTGTTGGGGTGACCAAGGGGATGAGCAGGTATTGGTGAATGAGTGAAGAGCTGGCACCAGTAGACAGAGGAGACATGGACGGGGTAGAGGGGCAGCATGTGCCCACCCACCTGGCCCTGATGACTGGGGTAGGAGCAAGGTGAAGGAGTAGCCAGGTGTCCAGAAGCCCTGCCAGCCACAGTGACACAGGGTGGGGTGACCAGATGCCCGCTCCACCTCACCTGGCATGAGTCCCCGCCATAGTTGGCAGGGCACATACACAGCTCCACGCTGCTGGCGGGAGGCCCCCGGCCCCCTATAGTGGCGACCTCGAGCACCACGCGGTGCAGAGAGATGGCCGAGGAGATCTGTGAGAACAGGGCTCGGATCTGCAGCTGCTCCAGGCCCGCCAAGACCATCATGAGCTCCTCGCGGGACACGGTGTTGTGGGTCTCCAAATGCCGGAAGTTTCCCTACAGGCCAAAACAGGACCCCGACGGGCCACCTCGGTGGGCAGAAGAGTCGAAACGCAGACCCCAACGCGGAGGAGAGAGGAGGGCATCAAAGGGAGAGGGAGAGGCTACCACGTGGAGGAACCCTCATCCCCCCCTCACCCCTCACACCATTTCCAGCACGACTCCGGGTGCGCGGAGGATTTCTACACAAAGTGAAGGGTTTTTACGTGGAGGTGTTTTCTCATCTCAAACAGACAGACTTTCTTAAGTCACAAGCATAGAGCTCCAAGTGAGGAAATGAACAAATTAAATCTCATTTCTGCTCAACAAAAGGAGTCTTCGTAAAAGTTACAATTTAGTCAATGACTCAGAGGTGTTGGGGATGACACAGATCTTGAGAAAGAACATCTGTGACCCTCGGCGAGGGAGGAGCAGCGACCCTGGGCACAGGAAGCTGGTCCTCAGCTGGCCAGGCATGGATGTCCGGCACACTATGGCCAAGGGCCACTCCCTCAACCTGCCCCTGGACCGATTCCTCGGAAGAATGGGCACAATGACCCGCAGCTCTCCTAGGCTGTGCCAGGGCCCAAGAAAGGCCTGGTGCCGGCTGGCCGCACTCACCTCCACCAGCTGCAGGTGCCCGTGGTATGGGTGTCCAGGCGGTGGGTACGTCGGCCCCAGGAAGATGATGCTCATCTGGTTACCCTGCGGAGGTGTACAGGTCAGTGAGGGTCGGTGGGGGCCAGCACTGGGCTGTCCGTACGCTGCTTGGCTGTGCTACCCACCTGCAGCACCACATCCGGACGGCTCTCTGTGGGGACAAAGACGTCTCCACGCTGGGTCTCCGAGCGTAACTCGTAGCGGAGCATGCCCCCATAGGATGACACCTAAAGGCAGGGTGTGTTGGAACAAGATGGGAGTCCAGCCGAGGTGTCCACAGGCCCAGGGGCCACTGGGGAGACTCCAGTGGCCTGGAGCCTGGACACCTTTCTGGCAGATGCCTCTGACCCAGGCAGCCAAACTCTGGGCCCTCCTGTCCCTGCCGACCCTCCTCCTTTAGATGGGCCAGCCCCTCAGTCTCCCAGCAACACTGCCACACACAGAGGCCTACAGCCTGTGTGTCCCTTGCATGGGCCTGGCCTTCATGGCCCCCTCTTCCCAGGTGGTCTATGAGACCCTTTGGGAGTTCTGGATGTGGACACCTTCGCTGCCGCCTAGGGTTCTGGAAACCCATCTACCCAACCCCAGCCATGGACATCGCACAGGTCCTCCACAGCCCACTGGGGTCCCACGTACCTCAAGGAGTGCCCAGCCCTTCCCTGGACTTGGACGCTCACACCCTCCCACACCTCTCAGCCCGGGGTCTGGCAGCCAGCCACACAGCACTCACGTGGTCCCCCAGGTAGGAGGGCGGGGCCTGCCAGTACATGTCCAGAGGGGTCTCAGGCCCCTGGCGAAGGTCTGCGTGCAGCAGGTCCGTCCCTGCTCTTCGCTCATGAGGCACCACCTGGCGGTCTCCACTCAGCAGCGTCCAGCCTTCCATGTCCACAAACTGTGTGTGCAGAGGGAGATGAGCAGAGGGGGAGACCGGACCAGCAGCAGCTCACTGCCTGGTTGAGGGCCCATCGGCCTCTTAGCCTTCCCTCAGCAACTGGTGCCCCTCGTCCCTCACCTCACCCACCATGCTGGAGCACCCCCAGGCTGGCACTCACCTCCCTGCGGCCGTGAGGGGAGCTGTCACAGCGGTCCGTGGCCCCAAAGCAGAAGCAGCTAGTGCAGCCTTTGGGGTTGGCAGCGTCCAAGGAGAAGGTCCCCACACGGCACTGGTCGCACCTCGGGCCTTGAACGTTCTCCTGCAGAAGCCAAAGTAAATGCATGACGCTGGGGGACGCCAAGCCCCCAAAGGCACGCGGCCCCGCCCCCCCATGGCACCGCCCACGAGAGCCTGTACCTTGCAGTGACACTGTCCCGTGAGCGGGTCGCACACACCGGGCGCCGTGCCCGCTTCGTCACAGTCACAGGGGAGGCAGGCAGGGTAGCCGTGGAAGCCTGGGGCGCAGGTGTCACAGCGGCGGCCCACCACGTTGGGCCGGCACCTGCAGGGGGTCCAGCTGGCTGAGTGCCCACCCCTCACTGCATTTCAGCTGCTGCCCAGGGCCACTCAGGGTGGGGAGGGGGGGGTACTGTGAGCACCAGTGACTCCCCACCTGCACTGTCCACTGTCCACGTCACAGCTGGGCTCGGTGAGCTCCTGGACTCCTGGCCCCGAGCAGTTGCACTCCTCGCAGCCGACCAGCGGGTGGCAGCCAAAGGTCTGGGGTTGACAGCGTAAGCAGTCTGGCTGCAGGGTGCGTGGGGGGCAGATGCACTGGCCCGTGACCTCATCGCAAAGGCGCGCTCCACAGTCGCAGGCTAGGGGGGAGCAGAAGGTCAGTATTCCCTCTGCCCTCCAGTCCAGGGTCCCCAATCTCAGCTCTGGTGGTGCAGTTGGGAACACATCCGCTCCCATCCTGGGAAGCCCTGATCTGGTCCTCCTCCAGCCCTGGGGACAGGGCAAGACACACTCAAGGCTGTATTCCCCAGCCAACCCCTCCCCAGGGAGCCCCCGGGGTGTAGGGCACCCCACTCAGGCCGGGCACTCACGTCTGCAGTGGGGGAACCCCCAGTAGCCGGTGGCGCAGCGGGAACAGTCTCGGCCAATGACATGGGCACGGCAGGGGCACTGACCCCCATAGGGCTCGCACGTGGGACCTACAGCACCCACTTCATGGCAACCGCATGGCTGAGCCCCGTTGTTGTAGAAGAGGGACAGGGAGATCGCGGCCTTGCGGCAGAAGGGGGACGAGCTGGGGCTGCGGTGGGGAGCAAGGTGAGATCTTTCCTGGCAGCATCTGGCCCCGCCCACTGCCGTGCACACTGTCATATGGCCACGCCCACAGCTCCCACAAGGCCCCGCCTACACCCCCCTGCGTCCCGCCCACCGCACAAGCACCTTCATCCCACTGCCCCGCCCACATCCACTTCGCCCCCAGGCCCCGCCCACTGCGCCCTGCCATGGCCACGCCCACCTGATATGGTAGCCCTGTGCCGCACAGTGGTTGATAAAGTCGTAGGATTTGTCCAGCGGCTCCTCCTGCAGGTAGCGCGAGGTGTAGACATCCTCAGGGACCACCAGCACGTAATCCTGAGGGACGGGGGGCTTGTCACCTTCCCATTGGCCCAGCAGGGTAAGGCTGGGGGCTGTGCCCATCACAGGGCACTGCACGGGAGAGGCCTCCGTGGAACTGGAAGCTTTGAACAGTCCCAGGGGTGGCACTCATGTGAAGCCTTCCCCCTCCCTCTCCCCTTGTAGACTCCACCTCCTCCGGGAAGGGTCCGGGGTCCCCTGGGAGCCTCCCATGGTGGGTTCAGGGTCCCCAAAGGCTGTAGGCCTGTGCTGGCCAGAGTCAGGCAGGTGACACGCCCGCAGAAAGACTGGTGCATGTGTGGCAGGTCTGAGGATGGGACCCTGACAAGAACCTCTGACTTGATTAGGTCCCCCAAGCTTGGCCGGCCTGCACAGGGGGCTCACCAGCCAGAACCAGCGTTCCTCAGGCACACGCACAGTCACGGTCAGCTCGCTGTCAGTGACGTCCAGCACCGTCTGGCCCTCACAGACCACCAGGATGCGGCAGCCATACCCATGCGGGCAGAAGCTGGCATTGGCCTGGCCTGGGAGGAAGGATGCAAGTCAGGCCTCTTCCCCACTGACTGTCCACATCCAGAGGCCCAGGCGACTCATCCAAGCACAGGTGAGGGTGTACCAAGCACTGACCAGTCACCCCACCTGAGGGCACACTGACCTAACACCCAAGCACCCACTGACCTGACGACCTAGACCTCCCAGTGTTTGCGACCTCAGCGGGCTCAGGCACGGATCTGCTCACAGGAGCACATGACCACTTACCATGCCAGATGCGGCCCCCGCTGACCAGCACCTCCACAGGGAAGGTGGGGTGAGAGGGCTGGTAGCCATGCAGCAGGAAGGCGTAGCGGCCCAGGGCAGGCACATGGGTGGTGAAGACCACGGTGCCCTGTGAGGAGGGTTGGTAAGGGGCAGGCTAAGGCCACTCGGGGGGCCCTGATTGGCCTCCACCACCTGGGATCGTCACCTGAGGGTGCCGTAGCAGGGTAGGCTCAGCGTCGGGGTCCACAGCGGTGGGGGGCCGAAGCCGGGGTCCAGCTGGGGGTGTCCCTGGGGTGAGCTCCTGTGAGTGGGTCAGAGGGAGGCTGGGCGGCAGCGGCAGCACTTGGCAGTCCCGGAGGATGATGGGCTGGGGCGGCTTGGGGAAGCGGGAGGGCAGGCAGGCAGCGCTGGGGGTGAGCGGGGGGGCTGAGTCAGGGAGTACTCCTTGTCCCGTCACTGCCCAGCTCTTCCCCTGTGCACCCCTGCTGCCCAGCCCTCCTCCCACCACCCAGTCCACCCCGCTCTGCCCAGCCCTCCCCCCAGCACCCAGTCCACCCTGCGCTGCCCAGCCCTCCTCCCAGCACCCAATCTGCTCTGCGCTGCCCAGCCCTCCCCACCACCACCCAGTCCACCCTGCGCTGCCCAGCCCTCCTCCCACCACCCAGACTGCCCCGCGCTGCCCAGCCCTCCCCACCACCACCCAGTCCACCCCGCTCTGCCCAGCCCTCCCCCCAGCACCCAGTCCACCCCGCTCTGCCCAGCCCTCCCCCCAGCACCCAGTCCACCCGCGCTGCCCAGCCCTCCTCTTGCAGCTTTCCTGGTTCCCGCACCATCTGGTCCTGATCCTCACAGGGTCCAGCCCTCCCAGCCTCCCTACCTCTTTGGACCAAAGGTGCCGTGTCGGCTGATACAGTGGACTTGAGGCTCCACAAACTCCATGCTGGACTTCTCTGCAGGCACCAGGGTGACTCCGTGCTGTGGACAGAGAAGCAGGGAAGGTGTAGGTGTAGGGAAGGGAAGGTGCCCTCTGCTGCTCACAACCCACCCTTGGTGGAAACTGCTAGTGCTTACCCCCTCCTCATTCAGGTCTTAGTCTGGCATCTCCTCCAAGAAAAGCCCTCGCCACCCCACCCCTGCCAGTCTCACCCTCAACCCCGCAGTGGCAGGCATACCAGGAAGAAGCGTGCCTGCTCGGCCGTGAGCCGGATGCTGGCCTCTGTGTCCAAGTGGAAAACGGCCAGGCGGTGCTGGGTGTCCACAACGGTGCCACGGCACAGGGTGCTGAGCAGGAGGGCGGTCAGTGGGTGAGGGCCTCTAGTTGGCTCTCCCCCCTCCAGAGCCCAGATTGCCCAGCACACCTGTATGAGCAGGGGTAGAGGGTGAGCATGCCCTGCTGGGGGGCCCGCTGAGGGCTGTGCACGGCCACCCCCACCTCCTGGTGGGCTTCCTCATTCGCATACTCCACCACCAGCATGTAGAGACCTGGACCAGGCACCGCCACCTGCAGCTGTACATCCACCTGGGGGCGGGGGGCCATCAGAGCGGCTCCCGGCCCCCAGACAGGTCTGGCCCCAAGGCCTGCCAGGTGTCCTTCCCTGTGGCTCTTCTTACTCTACCCTCTGCTCCTCTGCCCAAGGACCGACCCCCTTCCCGCCTCTGCCCTGCCCACAGGTCCACCAGCCCAGGTCCCTGCTGAGCCTTGAGGAGGGCCCTGTCAGTCAGTGGGGTGAAAGCCATATCCAGCTGCTTCATAGTGAACACCGTGAAAACTCAAGAGACCAGGACCTCCAGGCCCCTCTGTGACTGAGGCAGCCTTGCAGTACCCTAGCCAGGCCCAGTGATGGGGAACCCTGAGCCACCCAACCCTGCAGGGCCCAGACACGCACGTCACTGCCCAGGCAGGCGGCCAGCAGCGGATGGGAGGGGCTGAGCTGCTCCAGGGGACAGGGCCGGGGCAGGCTGTTGTCCTGACGACAGAGGGCATCCTGCCCGGTGGCCGTGGGGAAGCCATTCAGGGGCAGGTGGACATAGAGGAGGCAACTGAGGGCACACAGGGGTCAGCATGGCAGGCAGCCCTGGGATCCCGGGCCAACCCCCACCCTGTCCTGCTGGCAGCCTCACTTGTCCGAGGAGGGCTGGGCGGTGGGGTGGTAGGTGCAGGCCTCCGTCACCGGCAGCTGCAGGAGAGCAGCCTCGTAGTACGTGCTCGGCAGGAGCACCACGTAGTCCTGGAGGGAGAAGCTGCTGGTGGTCCCCAGGCTCGCTCCCACCACGTTGGCCCACTCCTCCCCTGCACCCCCTACTCACCAAGAGGACCCCTTCTGCCTCCACTAGCAGAGCCCAGGTGCCAGGGTTCATCACAAAGGGCTCCCCAAAGCCCCTCTGGGGCACCATGACAAAGGCGGGCTCTGTGCTGGGTGGGAAGACCACACCCTGGCTCTGCTCTGTGCCTGTGTGGAAGGGGCTATGAGACCCTGGTCCCTGGAGGCCCCCTGTGCCAAGAGAGCCCCCTTAACCATAACCCAGGCCCCCAGAGCCTAGCCCGTGATCCCCAAACTGTCCTCAGGTCACCCATGCAGAGCCTAGAGTTGGGGGGACTGAAAGTGGGGTCGGGTAGGGTGACTCGGAAGGGTGAGGGATAGGAGTAAGGGTAGGGCTGGGCCACAGTGGGCAGGATTGGAGGTAGGGACAGGGAGGGCAGGGGACAGTGAGGGGCAGAGCGGACTAGTCTGTGAGGGGTAGGGACAAGTGGGCTGAGGATAGTGAGAGGTGGGGGTGAGGTGGGCTGGGGCAGTGAGAGGTGGGGGGTGACGTGGGCTGGAGGCAGTGAGAGGTGGGGTAAGGTGGGCTGGAGGCAGAGAGAGGTGGGGGGTGAGGTGGGCTAGAGGTGGGGGGTGAGGTGGGCTGGAGGCAGTGAGAGGTGGGGTGAGGTGGGCTGAGGATAGTGAG